TAATTTACCTTTTCCACATAGTACATGACACTATCAAGGCCTTTCTCCCCAGGTGGCTTCCAGCTCAGCACCACATAGTTCTTGGTTGCTTCTGTCACCTGTAGTTCACAAGGTCTGCCAGGAACAACACCCTCTGATGATCACAACATAAAGGGTAATGTAGGACACGAGCTGGTCACAGAAAAATGGGAACTGGGTGTTATACACAATATGACTGGTGTACGTTCCTACCTGCAGGTTCCTCCTCTGTGACAATGATTTGGCCAGTCCAGGGGGCAGAGGTACCTGACAGCAAATACATGTTTACCATGTAAATGTTGCAAATTCAATGTGTACTGTGATTTTTTTTTCTTCATGGATGAACATTTCCATAACATTTAGACAACACTTTTGTCTAAAAAGTAATGAGAAAATAATTCATTTAAACACAAAATTCCTGAACCATTAAAACAAATTTAAAAAATCTGTAAAAAGAAATCATCACTGTTTTATAGAGATGTTTTGTGCTGATATTATCATACTTTGTAAGCCTATTGTATTGCCGTTATTCTACTGTCTTCCTTTTATGTGGTAGAAAGTGATAAAGTGTGTTTGGCCAGATGAACAGTTGGACTAGAAGCCTTGGCTACAGCACCTCTCATGCGGGCGCGGTCCGCTGGGTCCATGGCAGCCACTGGTTCAGACACTCTGGATGGGTGACTCATACCACACTTGTTCACAGCGCGGACACGGAAAATATAAGAACGACCCTCCACCAAGCCAGTGACAGGGAAACGGGCAAACTTGACTGGGGTGTCATTGCACTGAATCCAGTGGGTGGTTCCAACCTCACACCTGTACACATATTATACATTTAAATCATACATGCTTAAGTTTATTTATTGACACATTTCAAATTATTCCCATACTTGAACAGGGAAGGAAGTGTTACTACAGAAAAAGGAGTGGATTTGATTTAAATACACCAGAAGAATTCTTGTTTTTGTTTTTATTTTGGCCATATTATTATTGCAAAATAGTGTTCCTGAGCATCATTAAAAACAGGAATAGTGTATCAAATATACAAGTAAAGTATTTGGTACAGAAATTTACTGACTATTGCCAGATCACCGACTGAGAAATGCAAAATGTCACTTTCAGACTGTGATTCTATTCCCATTAAGTAACTACTGATAACTGCTGCTGTGAGACAAATGAGGACATTTTAGAAGTTTGACATGTAAGAACAGCAAGCAGTGACCTGTCCACAAAGTAGCCCAGGATGGAGCTGCCACCATCAACTGCTGGCTGCTTCCAAGTGACAATAATGTAATCCTTGTTGGCATCCAGACAGCGAACATCTAGAGGGGCACCAGGAGCTCCTTCGAGTTCAGCATCAGCATCTAGAAGAAACAGCAACACCATCAGGACTGTCAGTGTGCATATGCAGTCCATCTGAAAAAGCCTGTTCTGTTATTTGTTCATAATAAATTCACTGTAGCTGGTTGTTTTTAAGTGAGTGTGCCCTGTGCTGCAGTGTGAAGCTGCAGGACTTGGTGCCAGAAATATCTTTGGTCCTCAAGTCAAATACAGTCCAAGAGCAATGAGTAGCAGGGGGGGAATTAGCAGTAGGCAACCCCAGAGTGAAAGGGGATAATAGAGGTGCCTCTTAAAGAAACATGCAGGTAAAACCAGAGCACCTGGACAAGGCTTCACTACAGTACACTGCAATATGACAGGCTTGTGCTGTCATTACAGTACATGACTTATAGCTTACTTATTCATCTTGATGTCACTCTTAACATGGAAAATGTGCAGGTATCTAAGCTGGGTAGCCAAATGTTCTCCTTGAAGCAGATATTTAGAGTATGTATCTGCACCAGGCAGATTCATTCCATAGCTGAGCTCTCTGAGAATAGCCTGACTCCAGCCAGGCTTATAAAGCATTCCATTATGGAGACTGTACCTGGCCTTTTCTTTACCGGATGACCCTGGGCTGCAACAGGGGGGACAGCAGGATCTATTTTCTAGCTCATTCATACTCAACATGGTTTCTCTGTTAAAGCTGAAGCTTCAAAGGTCAGCTGGTCTCTGAAGTCTTCCATGTTACTCAAACAGACGGCAGAGCCTTGCCACTCTCTGTGGTCTCTATCAGAGATATCCTGTTTAAACCCACAAACTCATATTCAAACATTGTGGAGGTGAAGGCTGCTATCAGTGATTATTAAGTGTGGTATTGTCATCAGGTGCCAGATGATGTGTTATTGTCACTATGATTGTGCATTTAGCTTGTAATGACTAGGGTTACAGTAAAAATGTCTGTGGGGTGATATCTTTAAAATATCTTTTTGTGACTGTGAATGTGTCAGAGTGAGTCTCAGGCTTGGAGGTGACACTGGAGCAAGATTTTAGTTATTTAAGCAAATAGCAGTCAAGTTGGGGCATATTCATACTAAGCTCCTCCTAACTCCCTAAAACACTAATATGCACTTGGTTTAAATATCAATAAATTTGAATTAAATCCATAATTTGCTGCAGGATGTTTCTGAATCCTGGTTTATGTCTGTATATATGTGTATAAGATCGAGTTGGGCGTGAAACCCACCCTGACAACACCCAGATAATGTAGATACAGCAGCTTTCATTGCACAAGCTATAGTTTAATCCTGTATCTAATTTAGTCAGAGAGTAAAAAGAGTTATCTTAATTTTTAATGACAAGAAAACCTTCAGGAAAGGTGCCCCTACCTCTGACAAAGACATAGGCCGAGTAGGTTTCATATCCAGATTTAGTGCTGACCCGTAAGGTGTAGAGCCCCTCATCCTCTTTGTTGAGGTGTGTGAGTGTCAGGGTGGCTCGGTCTCCACTCCAGTGCATGTGGTGCCATTTAGAAGGAGACAACAGGACATCTGGAACACAAGCCAGTGCTTATTTTTGAATAACACTAAATGCAAAAGAAAGAAATGCATTGGAACAATCTAATTTTATAAACTCATTGTGCCGGTTTTACAAGAATTATTTTTGGATCTATGGTGAGCCCAACCAAAACCATGTATGTAGACTTTTTCTTACACATCAGGTAAATAATGAAACTGACAACCTCATTGTCCCATCACCACTCACCTACAGAGCACAGCAAAGAAACAGATTTATGGCTACATGCACTAAACGGGCATCAGACTGGAAAATGAATCAAGGTCACAGCTGGACTCAAACTCAAACAGCTCCAAGCCATATACCTACCATCTCTGTACCACTGAATCTCTGGCTGGTAGCGCTCCAGGGTAGGGTAGATGACGACTGTACACCCCAGAGTCATGGTCTCCCCCTCTCTTCCAAATGATACACCAAACGTATCAGCAATGTGAGTCTGGAAGGTGATGCCATACTCAGACACTGGGGCAACTACAGATTAAGCAAGAGACAGCAGAGTCATAAGATGGACTGGCAACAGTGAATCACAAATTTAGACTAGTGGAAAGAAACTTAAATAATAAGATTAAATAATGATCTCCGTGATAGAAAATACTATTAAACAGCAACAAAACGTATTCTCATTTAATGCTAATGCATCTGAAGAATCTCCTCACAGCAGCATAGCTGTGTAAAACAAAAGCAAGAATTGCACAAATAAATCAGTAGTTCATGTAAATCTTGCACAGTTGTACCGCCTAATGTGAATATGATCTCAAAAAATAGCATATAGCAGCATTGCTGGTGCTAGTTTTCAACTGGAAATGCTGAAAAATGTGTGAATTTTACCAGATTACGGAGATTATACTGTGATCTCTAAATTTTTAAACAGACAGGAGTGGTCATGCTTGGACACAAAATCAGGCTCACTAAAACATTTTCAAACCAGATCCCTCTGACCCTGTTATCTTCAGCACTGGCCCCTGCATTAGTTTAACACTGAGAAACCTCCAGAGCATCATCACACAGTTGTTTAGCTTTGTTGGCTCACTGGTTTGTTTTGAATGCCAGTAAATTTGTCTCACTCAGCAGCAGGTAGCTGTTTTCAGCAAAAAAAAGCTTTGATAATCTGATAATAAGGCACATGCTGAGCTCCAAACAGCAAACAGACAAAGCTAGCAATTAGCGAGTGAAGCCAGTTAAGCAGCTGAGCCAGATGACCCAGATGTTTATTTCAAGAGCTGGTGGAGGCCACAAGAGACCTGTAGGATGAATTCACCAGAAAAATATCTCTAAATGAAAGCTAATCTATCTTAATGTCTGCTGGATGTAAAAAAAAACAAAAAAAACACAACAACAATCTGCCAAAATGGTAGTAGTAGCTATTTATCAAAGCCACAATATTTAAGGGATGTGCATCTTATACATGTGCTTTTGAAGATTTTCTTCCCTCTAGAGACAATGAAGTAATATCTTGCAGCTTTTAAAGAAATAATGCACCACAAAATAGTTTTTAAAAAAGAAAACACACAGTGACATCACACTTACGTCTCGGTGCTGGCAAGAACTCATGAATTTCACCTTTGAACCCTGTGGAGAATAATAGCATTTGCTATTTATACATGCAGCAAATACACAGTGATACATAATACTAGTGATGAACTCAATACAGTATTATACTGAGAATATATCAAAACCATATGAGATATCACATAGATCTTTAAAGGTGTCACAGATGAAAACAGAATATAATGTTTCTTTCTTCTGATTTTAAATTCTTTTGAGATCATGAGGAAATAACTTTGAGAGCTTGTTCGTTCCGAGTGTGATGGTGTTTTGAGTCTAGATTAAACCTACTCTTAACAATGACTGAAGCATACGCAGAAAGTTCTCCCTTGGTATTCATGGCAGAGACGTGATACTGCGCTGTGTCGTCAAAATCACATCTGAAAGAGGAGAGCGTCAAGTGATCAGAGATATGCACATTCAGTCTAAAGATTCACACATACAGTGCCCTTTAATACTTCAGCCACAGCCCTTTCAACCATGTAAATAATCCCAATTAGATGAGCCCTGACTGTAACGCGTTCCAGGAATACTTTGGCAACAAACCGACACCACTCGTGATGTCATTTGCATCAGGCGGTGTTCATCTCTGTGGAAGTACAGTATCTGCTGTGTGAGGTATATAATGGAAGCCAACAATTGGACTCTAGAGACAAATCCTTTGAAAACATGAGAAAAAAAATTTGAGTAAACACATTTGGATGCCTTTGGTGATGTGTTGAAATGTGATCTTAGCTATCTTTAGACGTGCTCTTTGTTATCTGTGGCAGCTAAATAGCGTGGATCTTGTCCAGTTCACAGTCTGACAGCGAGCTAGATGGGGGTAAAGGCAGGTGTCTTTGGTTCTTCCCAGTGACTGGAAGCTAAAGAAATGCTAAAGTAAAAAGCAGCATGAGTAGATGTTTGCAAAAAATATAACCTTCTCGAGTATTTTATTTAAAGAGGCCAAACTCATTACCTCGTTCACTTCTACTCTGTGAGCTAGTCACAACTTAAATTTGAGGGAACACTGGACTGAAGAACCCATTAACGTGGTGACATTATGGCATATTTCTACTACTAACTATGGCATAAGAAGGCAGTGGCTTTTTGAAGAATTATTTTAAGCACTGTGGATTTGGATGTGAAACTAAAAAGCTACACCTACCTATTAATCTCCAGTGAGTGCACTCCGTATCTGCTCTCAAGTTTATACTTGCCAGGGTTTGCAAGAGGGTCAATTGCCACATTGTTTTTGTACCTTGTGGTGGGAAGCAGGGAACAAAGAGGAGAAACCAAGAGAAGCAGGAATAGCTTGACAAGGATGAATGAAGATGAACATAATAAAGCCATGGAACTATGTGCAGCTCAGATGAAAAAGCAGGACGTTGAGATGGAAAAAAGGACAGATTTGAGGTCATTGTGATGGATGTCTGTGACCTACCACACGACCCGTGGCTCCGGCCAGCCGCTGACAGTGCAGTGCAGCCGCACACACTGCTTCTCCCATATGGTGTGGGAGCGAGGTTTGATCACAAATTCTGGGGCGTGCAACAGGCTGTCTTCATTCATGCGCTTGAAGTGCTCCTCATGTTCATGGATCTAACAAGAGAACAGTTCATTAAATCACTTAAAGGCAACTGTACTTTTGCCAACCATAAACTGTTCCATCACACGATTTGTTTTAAACACCCCATGTTTTCACTAGGAATCCACAATGCATGAGACAAAATACACACACGCACGGAGCAAAAAGCACAATATATCTTTGCTTTATATGTGCAAGATGTGTGCACTTCTCAATGTGACATGTTTGATAAGCGTGATGTCCCATGAATATCTAGGGGTGTTTAGCCGTGCATTAAGTTACTCGGCACTTAATATGACAACACCCTTGAGACACTGCTTCTTTATGTCTTAAGAAACTCAATCTCTTGTGGAACCTCACCCAGTAGTAAGGCTATAAGCAGAGTGGCACTCTGTGGCTGTTATGATGCTCGTGAATGATCGAGTACAACTTTACATAATCACCCAGAGTCATAAATAACTCTTTGCGTAGGGAGTAATAATAACAACCACTTAACCACAGGGACATTCCTCAGTTATTGTGGTATGTGGCCTAAACGCAAAATGGTTTACAGAAATGTCATGAACAAGAAAAGCCAGTCTATAATGTCATGGAGCCGACAGGTTTGCAAACACATATTAGATCAAGTACTACTATCTATTCTGTTAGCTACTATCTATGTTGTAGTAAAAACTGTGGCTTTGTATAAGACTTGAAAACCCCTTCACTGACCTTTTTTGTAAGGGAGATACGCTCTGCCGACTCTCGCATGGTCTCCCTCCTAGAGGCCAGCTCGGACTTCTCCATCTCTAAACCACTGGTGAACAAATCCCTGCGGGCCATGTATGCAGCTGTGTCTCTCGTCCTTGCTTCTTCTGTATCTGAAAGTCCTGTAGCAAAATCTTGACTAGGAGTCAGCAGAGCAGACCCATGTGGATGGATGTGGGGAATAAGGTACAGCATTAAAACTGAAATAACTTTAAGGGAAGAGCATTCTGGGAATTGTGGTTTTATATGGTGAAGTGTTACCTGCTCCTGAAGATGGGCACTACATAACCGATGATTTGGTTCTCTTTATCCACGGCCAAGTAAGTTGGCTTTACTCTCTTGGGTACAGGGCTCAGTCTGCTGTCCTCCAACCCAGAATGTGAAGACACTTTAAGTCTGAGACATATAGAAACCCATGAGCCAGGGACACCACCAGACAGTCCAACTAATAACACAACATTAACATGGAGGGGGAACATCAGTCAGTGGGAAAGTAGTACAGATGGTTTAGTTTTGATTGTAGAGTCACACCTATAAAATAATTGTTTTTAAAATTAGCAATGGCCATCTGATATGATGATGACTTGACCATCACTGAGAACAACTACGGTTATTATTGAATCATTAAATGTCTCAAACAACACAGTTGCTGAAGTCCAGTTAATGGTTGGCCTGCCACTGTTAGGGTGATTTTTATTTTATGCACTTAAGAATGGTTTATTTTATAGCACACATAAGTTTACATACTTATATGTCACTGTTATGTTTATATAGTTATGAATATCACCCTATGTGTTCACTGAACCACTGGTCAAATATTTCCTGTGTGAGTAACTGAAACACTAATGCAACATCATAAGTCTTGTTCACTAAATTACTGAATTTCATTAGATTTATGGATGTAGCTAAGGGGGCTCATAGTTACTTATCGTTCCTCTGGACCGGTGGACCCAAAGGAGTCTTAGTACGGTAAGGCTCCAAGTTTATTAAAATAGATTAGACATAAATGAGAAAGCTTCAAAGGGAGAACAGTTATGCACACACACACACACAGGCAGAACAGTTTTAATTAAGCGAAACGGAAAGCTATGCGTAATATGGAGCAGTTAGTTGAAACCAAAGGAAGAAGTGAGTGTGTATGTAGGAATTAAAGTAGTATAGGTATTCTTCCCCTTCCTAGGGCGCTGTCCACGATGATTGGAGCAGAGAGGACGATTGGAGGATGGACGGACTGAAGGACCAATAATGGGAGAGTTAAGTCTAAACCACGGCTTCTCCCCAACAGTTTTGGACCAATCAGATAGTAGTACCTTTTCATACAAATATTGTATACCACTAAGCTGATGTCAGTCTTTTCTGTTTATCCTAAACAGTGAAGATCCATGTGCACATGCTAATTTTGATACGTTAATGCATAATAAATTTCACATTGTGAAATATATATCCTCTTATCAGTCTTTTCTTTTCAATATAAAAAGAACACGCCTCACACCACAAATCTTACAATAACAACTGATACTACAGCCAAAGGCACATAACAATTTAGAATCCTGACAGAGCATTTGTATCTGATGAATGGAGAAACGGGACAGCAAGTCAAGTAAGACCAAGACTGAAGAGGAATGTGCTCTAACTGTAGAGCTCATTTGATTATCATAGGAATGTGAGTATACATTGTGAAGAAAAGGCATACAATGCTCATGCCTACACAAATGCAGCTATATCTTTGCAATAGCAATGCTATCATAACTGTCCCAACAGTTAAATCGTCAGCACTTCATAATCCTCCTTTCCTCACCTCAGCACAGATTAGGTGGCTGCTATGTTGCACAGCACTCCGTAGTCATGAGAGTAAAGGCAAAGGCCGGATGGTGTTAGGAAAACCTGTTCACAATCTCCAGGCAAGATTTGCCAGGCACTGGAAAAGGCAGACTTACCATGAAGCAGGTATTTGGTTACTGCTAGGATGAAAAACTCAATATACAGTATTTCTATCCTGACAAACTTTGTAAGACTGAGCAATGTTACAATATAAAGCTAGATTACTACACATCTTTCTGGTGATGAACAAACATCATCATCAGTTTGAGAAATCAACTGTAAAAACCAAACTACTTCACAATACCTTCATTTTTCTTTATTTTGTAATATTTATTGAATTTTACTTTCCAGCTCTTTGCTTGCAAAACTAGTGCTACTTTCCATGATTGCTTATTTAACAGCAGACCCAGTGACAAAAATTCTCACAATCTCTGTATATAACCATGTAAAGTATATTCTTCACTAAAGCACAAGACAGCTGAACACATCTGGGAACAGAACCAGCCACCACCACCAACAACTAGACTGAGAAACAGTCCCTCCAACATGACATGTACAGGTCCATATGTATCAGTCTATCCCACATACCACAGTATGTTTCCTAAGACTTTAGCTCTGGAAGAAGCAAAACTGGACAACAGCAAAAAAACATGTCTAATAATCACCTTCATTATTTGAGGATAGTTGTGCTAAAGGTAAGAGTTTGTCAGTATGTACACCACACAGGGAATCTTTTAGTCTACATCCAAAGAGCTTCATGCATGACTTAAAGTACATTAATCCTCAGTGACTGAGAGCTGATCAAAGTAAAAGAGAGTTCAAAGGGGGAGGAAGATGGTTACTTGATGTCAATATGGCAGCAGAGCAGGAAAGATGATTCCAAGTCATCCAACAAGAGTGAACTTGATCAGCTGGGGTGGGGGAGATGGTAATGTTAGGGGGTAGTAGGACTTTCCTTTGACAAAGAAGTACACCCTCCATCCCCCTCTTCTTCCTCCTCCTTACCCTGCACTCCTGATGGAGCTGGAAGTGCCACTGCCAGCAGTGTACCTGCTGCTGGACTGGTACTGACTCAGTTTAGACCCCGTGTCCTTGCTACGGTAGCCACGGTCGTAGTGGTGATGATGCTTCTGGTAGAACGGTATAGATCCAGACATGTTGCAGGCTGCTCCTCGCTCAAGCCCCAAATGTCCAAGTTACTTGCTTTCATTGAATTTTAGACATTACATTAGAGTTTTGTTGAAATCAGTAACTGGCTGCATTAATAAGCTGGCCATGCTTTTAATTACTTCAACCTGTTCTTTATAGCTGAACATGGATAGTTAAATCTAGCTCTCATCTGCATTCTTCAGAAAACAACACTGTGTAACCTTCATGATGCCAATAAGAAATCTAGCAAAACATTTTAAGAGTTATACGATCAAACTAAGAAATGATGCTTTTCCCATCAAATTCAAACCTGTAACATCAGACATGGTTTAATATTCATGCCATCAGAAACTTTCTCATGCTTAGACATACAGTACATTATGCAGAACTACAGCCTGGCTTATCACATACCATCCTTGCACAACAGTTGCCACTTACCCCAGGCAAAACCCCTCAAAGTCCAAGCTTTAAAAGGAAAAGATGGTCTAATTCCACACTTAAATACTTGATATCCCAGCAGACCTCAAGATAGGTGTGTACAGGACTGCAGTCTACACAACACCAATGATATTAGCCCTTGCCAGACTGTCCAAGCAGCAGCCACAGCCTTTTATGGTGAGGGTGGAGATATATATAGCCAAGATCAGTCCTGGGGGGCAAATCGACCCCCACAGTGCAACACATTTGTGGGTGCAGGTCTCTGCCAATGAGCATTAGTGCCTGATATGCAGGTATAAACACAGGGTTACTTTGTTCTGTCTTTATTATTTAGGTTTATGGCCTTTTTATCCCAATTATACATTTGTATGTACAATATGTACTGTGTATAATGTAGGTCTACAGTATTATGGATGGGTGTGTTTATTTACTTATGTGTATATTTGTTTTTATTCTGGTTTGATTCATTTATTCATCTATACTTGACACCTGCTGATATATACTGTATGAAACTGAAATACTGTACTTACACTTAGCTAAATAAATGTGCAAAAAGCCCTAAAACATCAGTAATCCCAAGATTCTTTAAGTGATGGTTCTGATTCTGTTTATTTTCTATTTATTTCAGTATCGGCTATCTTCTAATTTCCTTCAACATCATTAAGATGGCTTAAAGCCTACAGAACACCATTGCTCCTTAACATCCATCAGCTTTTGTCTGGACCTTTTACAGCAGCAGTCCCAGCTGTGACTGCTGCTAACTTTAGCTTTGCTATTGTTACTTGCCTCACACATGACAAATACCAGTTACAGGCACTTTGCCACTCTCTCTTTCAGTCTTCCTGTTGTTTGTGGAAGTACACAGAAGTACCCTTGGTTTTACTTTGGTCATAAACAGCTACTAAAATAAAAGTGAAATAAATCAAAACTCAGATTTTTAATTTAAATTTTAGTAGTAAAAGCACAAAATGACATATAAAAATGAAATATTATTGTGAATATAAAGGATTTTTTGCTTAAATTTGGAAGGATGGTTTAATTTGACTACCACAGATGTTTGGACATTGTTCTGGATATTAGCTGCAACGCAAAGGTTTTTATGGAAAACATACATCAGAGAACATTTACCCTTGGTTGAACATTAGGCTTTTACAACAGTGGCTGCTAAGCATAAAATACATACAAGAAAGAGTGCACTAATGGAAACGCGCCCCAAGCCCAGAAATGCAACACATACCAAAACACATACTGTACATGGGTGAGAACATGAACACGCGCAATAAGAGTGGCTCCCATGTGATAATTTAGCACAAGTTATAACTGGAGTTAAGGCTCAGCAGCTATGTTAGCCAAACCTAATGAAGGAGCTGAGAACAGGACTCATAAAAATGTTAAAGTCTAATAATAATTTGACTTATTTTTATAGTCAAGATGTGAAACAGAGCCCATTTTATTTTGATTATCCACAACTCTTCCACATGATACAGTGGCTAGCATGGCAAAATATCTAAAATGTTACAGCAGCATTCTGAGGTCTAAGCCCATTAAAATACATCACCAGTAAGGGAAGCTAATATGTGACATTGAGCAGGGTCATAACACTGCCTAATGAATATGGGATATAAAGTATTTTACAAGTGGATTATAATATAACAACATGGCTACTTTGAACCATTACAATTAACTGCAAAGCAAGACAGTTACACTAACTGTCAGAAAGGCACAGGTGATATGCTGCTTTGTAAAACATCCAGTTGACTCTTAAACTTGTATTTCTGCAATTCAAGTGCATTTAACTATATTAAATGAGTTCAACGTGGGCAGCACAGTAGTGCAGTGGGTAGCACCTGACTCTTGACCACAAAACAATTAAAGTGCCTGTGGCATGCTTTTCCTTGTTTTCTGACTTATCTACAATGTTGCAACGGTGAATTCTCATCTTAGATCTTAGATGTATTATATTCCCTTATATTGAAAGGTGTTTCTAATATTTTGCCCATTCCCCGCTTATATATGTAGGGCATTTAGATTAATCACATTAATGTTAGAAGTATGCTACTGGATCCAACTGTCCAGGAAATTCAAAATGTATAGAGGGCTCAAGGGATCTATAAGGACTGTTTTTAAGTTCTGTTTGGTGCTGTCTCAAAACACTGAGGCTATATGAACATATTGGCTAGGAGTTCAAGATATGAACAAACTCACTCAACTGAGTGCACAAACAAGTTTTAGTAACATGCTGAAACAAACATTTAATTGCCTCAAAAACTGGTGTAAATAGCACAGACCAAGTAAAAACTTTTTGTGAGACTAGTGCCCTCTGGTGGTCGAATGCAACACTACAGTAATTCAAGTGAAGAAAACTGATTTATTCTTCAATAATCACCTTTATTGGCCAAGTATGTTACACACAAGGAATTTGTTTCTGTTTGTTTACAGAACCGAGGCAGCCATCTGCAGCGCCAACACAACCAATGGCTCTAACCATCGGGGACAACGGGGGTGGGGGGGTGTACCTTCAACCTTCCGGTTGGGAGACAACTGCTCTACCCACCGCACTGTCACCTTCCCCTCGCACTGTCACCTGCCCCGGTAAGGTGTAATTTGAGGTAGTGAATCAAAAACAAAACACACAGAGATAACTCACCTACACATTAAGATCTAATCCAAAATATTAGAAAGAGTTCAAATAGCCTAAACAAGGATCTAGGACAGTGGCCAGGCAAAAAAACAAAGTCTAACACCACAAAAGCACATATTATGTTAAAAAAGCACAACAGCTAAATTAAAAGTGCATGTATCAGACAAACTGACTTTTCTTTTGTTCTATGGCTGTTCACAAGTCTGTTGGCTTCTGGAATAAAACAGACTTTGTTAATTTTCCCAAATGACTTGTGTTTGAAAGATTTTTATATGCTTTATATTGAATTCATTAACTACAGATACGAAATGCTTAATGTCTAGATGTTTAAATTGATTATTTAAAATCCATATTTTAATCTCTTTCGAGTCATCCATTCATCCACATTTACATTAATGGTCCTTTGCTTGAAGTTAAAATTAGACCTCAACACAAAGTGGCCTAAAATGTATCTTCTAGTGTCTGACAAGAAAACAGCTCAAATTTGAGCTCTGGTTTTGTCCTTTAGTACAGCATATTAAACACTGTGTGCTTCTTACCAACAGAAAACAAAGTGATCAAATGATCATCAGTACAATTTATAGTTTTAGAGTAATTTCTTTCTTGAAAGTCAGCTCCTATATTCTACATTAACAATGAGGTTTTTGGAGTAAACAACTTTAGACTAACTATAAATGACTCACTTTCAGCAACTCTGAAATTGATGTGACAGCTGCACAAAAAGACAGATGTGGCTTCTTTTAACCAGTGAGTCAACAGTTCCACATCATGCTTTTGAAGCCCTGCAACAATGACCAGAGTGCCAACTGTTGTCTGACCCACGATGAGTACTCAGTGCCTATTATTACCCATCCTATCAACAATCTCCCCTTATTGTTTTAATTTATTATATGAGGCTCCTTTAATTTTTCTTTTCTGTCACTGCTGTTAGCCAGGGCAAACTCTACTCAAGGTTAAAATCTCTGATTTTTTTTACAGCAATAAATATCAGCCTTATATCTGTATTTCATCTGCTCATGTTAAGCTGCAGTGGCTGGCTCAACTGGCTTGTTAGGAGAGCCAGGCTCGCTCAGTTGTCCAACCATTAATCTCAGCACTAGCCACTACTTGGCAACCCCCCTGAATGAATTATGGCCCCTGTCTTAACAACTAAGGTATGATGTCAAAATGAAGGTTAGGTTCAGTGCAGTATCACAAGTCCTGCACATGCTAAACAAATACAATAAGTTTACTCCATGTCAAGCTACACAACGTTGCTATGACATTCTTGCTGCTCAACCCAGCAAGCAACAAGTCAAGAAGACCCTCAACTAGTTCATCTTAGCAAGTAACAAAGCATCAATTCCTATTTACCTAAGTAGTGTGGTAAGCTAATTACCATGGTAATTAGCAGACAGCCACCATCTAATTGTACCTTTTTTACCCCATCCACTGGCCCTGCTTTACCTGACAGGCTGCTCATGCACACCCAGCAGCCTCTGTTTATCCTCCACAGCCTCTCAGCTGCTGTCGCTTTGCTCCAAGTAACCTGTGATGTGTTTATAATCAAACCTATCCTGACCATGCTGCACCTTCCCTACAATGTGTCTAAGTGCTGCTTCAAAATTGTACTTAAGTATGACTTTACTGCATCATTGTATGCCCTCATGGCCTATAAACACTGCACAGATTGAAGTCTCTCCCTGCTGCTTATAGTAAACTCTGCTCTCTAAAATATATACACAAATAACAGACCCACATGGCAGTATATTAGCTGCTTTTAACAATAGAAAGTATTGATTTAAACTACACTAATCGAGGCCAAAGCAGAGTAGTCTACTTGCCCAATGAAAATAAAATAGGCAATTTAAGAGTGATGGTTAGTTATTATGTAAAACGTACGTCTCTCAATAACAAATTACGAGTATTGTTCAAACTCGCTTTATTGCACAATGCAAAGGAGGATGTGTACTTTCTTCCCTTAAATGGACATAACGATGAACGTCAGGCAAGGTGCTGTTAGTGGAAGTTACATTAATTCTACATGGAGTGTGAGATTTCAGAGTGTATTTTATTACTATTAATAATTACAAATTATGATTCGTTTTCGATAATAGTTTAATCATAATACGTGAAAGTGTACCATTTGGACCTAAATAACGTTTGATTAGCTTTTTAAACAAGTAATCATGGTTTCATGCATAATGAGCCCCCCTCTATATTTCTACATTGGTATGTTCTGATATTTAGCACTAAGCCTAGCATTGGTTTCAGGAAGTGAAGGGCGGTGGTTGAAGAAAGAATAGCACCAGGCCAGTTGTCAGGTAAGAATGATCTTTTTGTTAAAAAAATTTATACTACTGTAAGCTATATCATACATATATTTTTGCCAGGATACTGTGGATAATGGATAATATTAAAGCTGTATATCACACTGTCGTGCCATTGTGAGTTTTTGGTTGATAGTATTGAAAACACGGCTAACTGTTAGCTACGCGGCTAGTACCTCGAAAGCTTTGTGATTATCGCTAACAAATTGAACGCCGATGTTTTAGATTTCCTTAGTTAATTAACTGTATAAATTGAATTAAAACTGTACATACGAACCTTCTTCTACTGGGATAACCTACCGTTCACCGGTGTTTGTACACTATTTATTTAATACAGGTTAAGATAGGCCGCATACCGTCGAGACGTTGGAAGCTCATTAAAAAAACATGACAATGAACTGTTTTAGAAAGTGCGCAACATTCCGGCTATTTTTAGATTACGTTGCCAACTATGAATAAGAAAAACTAAAAATGAAGAAAAATCGCAAAGATATCCAGTTTGCTGTCATGTACAACAAAGACTAGCATTAAATTCTCACATTTTGTATTTGATGGTATTTATACTGTACTTGCAAGGTGTAAGTACATTAACTTTTGAGTAACCCTTTCTGTAATTTTTTTTTAAAACAAGGATCGACTTTTTTTTTTTAGCACTGACTTAATCACGCCTTTATAGCAACAAAGATCCTAGATGCTGATCCCTGTTGCCTTTATTGACAAAACTATTTGACTTTTAGTCAGTTGACTCAAACAGTCATCAGTTGGTAATCAATTAACCATAGTTCATTTTTTAAGGACAGAATTATTACAATTCAAATTCTTTGCTGTTGTGAAAATGTGCTGCTTTTTTTCCATTTTTTTTATTGCTCAAAAAAGAAGCAATTTGAAGGTGTTGCCTTGGGCTTTAGGATCTTGCAATGAGCAGTTTATACATTAAATAACCGATTGTTAGAATAATTGACAGTTCTACTGAAAACAGTAGTTACTTGCAGTCCTAACTTGGATTAGGCTTTATCATTGAGCATCCACGCAGTGCTTAAAGTTGCCAGTGTCCCAGACAATACCTATTTATACATGTATCAGTACAAGGCCCAGCTCAAGATGGTACTTTTTCAAGATGACTTGGTCAGTTTTCCTTCAGCACCATGTAGGAAAAACAGATGTCCGTCAACATAAAGATGTGAATGGAGTCAGTTCGAGTCGACACTCATGTTGCCGGATAAGGTTATCAGTCCTCACATCAGTAATTTTCCTGCCTGAGGTGAAGGCAGATCAGCCTAGATAGATGAGGCACATTTCCATTTATAGCTCAGGAAGGGGCACACACCACACTGGGGATTCACTGCCAAAGAGTTACATTACCCTACTGCTTAGTTGTAGGCACAAATGACGAAATCTTATTTTGAGTAACAGCGTGATCTACTTAACCTTTGTGATTATGTCCCTGTGTATTATGGCGTCTGTCAACTTCTGTCTTTTACCTCTGCTCTGTCCGCTAATAAATGATGCTTTGTTACTGAGCATGAAGTTGGCAATGATCATAAATACTGTTGCAACAATATTGGATTTTTTTTCCTTTAATTCAGAATATTTTTTTCAACTGTCATCACAATTTCTCAAAGCCCAACATGATACCATACTGCTGGTTTTGTTTAACCAATACTCTTTAAGCCTAAAACACTTGGCATCTCATAAGACCAGCTAGAAATTCTTCTTACATTGATATTCAATCATTTTTCTCTTCTCTGATGAGTAGCTAAGCTCTGCTGCTACAATACGTGGTGACATTGTGGGATATATAATCTGAGGTCTGTGTTGTTCTTACTTCCACAGAAATCAGAGTCAAAATGTCTAGCAAAAGGGCCAAGGGAAAGACCACAAAAAAGCGCCCCCAGCGCGCCACCTCCAATGTCTTTGCTATGTTTGACCAGTCTCAGATCCAGGAGTTCAAGGAGGCCTTCAACATGATTGACCAGAACCGCGATGGGTTTGTGGACAAAGAGGACCTTCATGACATGCTCGCCTCACTGGGTTAGTACAGGAGCCTCTGAGACAGATGAGCTAAAGCTATAAGTTTACTTTAAGAAGTAAAATGACCATAAATCTGCAGTGATTTGTGTGTGTGTGTGTGTGTGTGTGTGTTTCTATCCTTGTGAGCTCTTGTTTACTTTCTGATTGTGATTCAATAAAATCTACAAAAGCAGGCTCTTGCTGACATCTAAAAATTAACAAAACTTCCTGTGTAAACTAACATGGCACTGCCATCACAAATACATGTTAAGTAAGTACAATGCATTCTAGGTAATACTGTGGTTCTTAACCATTTTAGGAGTGCATAATGTCATAGGCTTTGTGGAGCTGACATAATGTTACTGTTTAGTAGTACTGGATGGCTTTTATGAGTAGTAGAGGGGAGCATTGGGGAATCCACAATGTCACTTGTGCTTAAACCCACCTCTGTTGTTGTTAATCCTCAGACTATACCTATTTGTTTATACAGGTAAAAATCCAAATGAGGACTACCTGGAGGCCATGATGATGGAAGCTCCTGGACCCATTAACTTCACCATGTTCCTCACCATGTTTGGAGAGAAGCTCAATGGCACAGACCCAGAGGATGTGATCAGAAATGCATTTGCTTGTTTTGATGAGGAGGGAACAGGTAAATTCTGCCACTTTGTTTTCTGTTGGTAAAAATATATATAGTTTGCTATAGTGGTATGTCAGGTCACATCTCTGAGCTATGCTGCTTCTGGTGACAGAACGGCATAGGCTGATAAATGATCTAACATTTGAAGAGGAATGTCTGCTCCTATTTAAAGCACTTTGAATGTGTTTGAAGGTGTTATACAGATAAAGTAGCCTTGGCTTGCCTGAAACAATAAGTGAAAAATTCTTCAGATGATAAAATTTATCCAGGGTGTCTTCCCTGCCTTCTTACATGATTTTACCATATTCCTCCTTCAGGTTTCATCTCCGAAGATTACCTAAGAGAGCTGCTGACAACAATGGGTGACCGGTTTACAGACGAGGAGGTGGATGAGCTCTTCAGGGAGGCCCCCATCGATAAGAAGAACAACTTCAACTACGTTGAGTTCACACGTATCCTAAAGCACGGTGCCAAGGATAAGGACGACTAAAGGCTCATGCCAGCATATTCTTCTCTACCTTCTCGGCCTCTTTTCCATTAGCTGGACCAATATGCTTCGTCTCGAGCCCTCAATATTCTCTTCACATTTAAACAAACCAAAGCAATAACTGTCTAGTCTGTAAACCTCCAGTATTGCCAAATGTATACATCTCTAATGAGGAAAAAAAATATTCTAATGGGTTTTGAAATGATTTTTTTTTTGTCATAAAGATGTGAAGTGGCAGCAACTTGGAAGCTCTAGGGGATATGTCTTTGTAAACTTTTTAAATAAAGCCCACTATCATGTTGTACTTCACTGTCTCCGTTCAATAAATGACAACTGAAATGAGTGTTATTCTGTGGTCTTCCCCGCATGTTAAAATGGTTAAGTACCATTTTGGCTCCTCAGGAGGAAGAGCAGACATGTCAAGTTTTGACATGTCTGCTCTCCCTCCTCACCATTCAATATGTGCTGACTGAAGGCTTGTTGCAAATTTAACAAATACAAGCTGCACTGAAAACTGGGGCGTAGTAAACTTCAGCTCCACAAAGAAGAGGCAGTACTGCCTAAATGCCACCTGTGCATGGTGGTGACTCATTTGTTATGGAGGCAGTTGCATAATGTAATAAGAATCCTGATGTTTCAAACAAAAATGAAACTATTAATCCCACTGAATGATTGTTTTAGGTAACAATTGATTCAACAGTGCAGGTACTCTTATTGAGTACATGTCTGAACCCCTGAAGATGATACTGTGCCTGACAGTGTATGTCACTGTGCACGCTCTGCTCTCTTATTCTGAATCACTAGGGCAAGAGTAATCAGCCTTTTTAAGCATACAAGCACTGAATATATGGTTTGTAATGCTATAATATAGTTGTACACAGCTATTGGGACATTAAGTATTAATGTAAAGTATTTCTCAATTATAACTTCACATGTGAACTTGTGAAGATATAGTATAGTACATTTATTCAAGTACCCTACTTGGAGTATGCAATTTTGTGATACTTGTCAAGTCAAAATTTTTATTTGCCATGTATGCATAAACAAACAGTCTAGGCATATAAGAATTCTTGTGCAGCTCTCCTTTGGAGTCAGGTAAGGAGTCAATAGCCAGAAAGAACACTTAGTCTTAAAATAAAAAAAGTTACATAAAGGCAACAAAGCATTAAAACCGCAATACACAGAAATAGAGTAATATTATTTTCCCCAGTGAGCTTCAAACATCGCACTTAGTAATTTACTTAGTCTTTAAATAAAACGTTATATAAAGGCAACAAATTGTGCACAGTACTTTCATTTTCTGCAACTTAAAAATTCATTACACAAATATTTTACTCCACTACATTTATTTGATAACTTTAAATTACTTTTCATAATCAGATTAATAAAACAAAAAGCAGTATAATCGTAAGACTTTATTGATAATCTGGGAAAGCCACAAGCTACCCAGCAGTGATTTGATGTATAAGCATATAAGGCTGTTGAAATTAGTTACACCTTCACCAGCTGCAGCATTGTTTACACTGTATTGTTACTTTTACTTGAGTAAACAATCAGTATTTCTCTGAGTATTTCATTAAAAAATAAAAACAGTGCATTACATTTGAACAATGTCTCCATTTGCTCATTAAAAACATGAAATTAATCTGGAGTTTCCACACATTTGCATACAACTGTAAATTTAAATACTGTAGGGGAGACTTAATGTACTACCAGGATAAGGTGCGATATTTTACCGATTTTAGTTTTATATTGACAGCAACTTTTCATTGAAATTTGTATATGTTTAGTTAAAATAGACCACTTGTAAACACACACACACACACACACACACACACACACACACACACACCAGGCCTTTGGAAATAAAGAAAATCTTTGGTTATTTGGAGTTAGTTCTCCACAATTCCTACAGTGCCTAGACTGTGTTTAGGCATAAATGGCAAATAAAAATCTTGACTTGACTTGACAATTCTTCCACGTTGTTCTTGTATGGGTTTGTCGCCCTCTAGTGTCTGAAAGGAAGTTTCAAAGTGCATGGTGCTACTTTCACAGGTTGTCGAAAATGTGGAAATTACATGTTAGGTCCATAAAACGTCAGGAGACTTAAAATGACTTTGTAAGGCAATATAGTGGGCGTCTAAAAAGGTTTATATTGCTCATTAATAGTTCGCATTATTGTATCGTAACGTAAACGTTGTGGGAGCAGTTTTGGCTATAGTAGAAATAGCCTAGGTGTTGCGCATGCAAAGTGAAAAAGATGCAGTCAACTCTATGGAAGCGTTTCTGATATATGGTCAATTTTACTGTTAATTTTTTTAACCAGAAATCTAATTAAACACTGGGTTGATTCGCCACACTTCAGAAAATTCTGAAATTACTACTCTTACCCGGTGCTGTGAACACGTCACGACCCTTGCGGAAGGGAACCACGTTAGAACTGTCTTCTGTGTCGGCGGGTCTGTGAATGGATGTCATGAACTGTGATGCTGTCTCAAGGTTGAGGTATGAATTTAGCAGATGTCACCTGGCCTTTGGTTGTCTCTTTATCACTCTGAAGTGTCAGGCTTAAGAAACAGTAATAACCAGAAGCGTGATACTGCTAGGTTACCCAAGAAGTTAGCAGCTAGGAAGCTAACGCTACCTAACAGCAGTCCCAAAGGTTGGGGAGTTAACAACAGCCGTGGAAGAAGTACTCTGATCCTTTATTTTCATAAAAGTAGCGATACTACAAGAGTCCTGCATTCAAAATGTTTTAAGTTAAAGTAGGCTAATAGCATCAACATGTTTTTATAAAGTGCTAAAAGTACTCATTATGCAGAATGGCACCTTTCGCATGAATGTACACCATATTATTGGATCATAATTATCTATGTATTACTGTGTACATCACGTTTAATGTTACGGATGGAGTACTTTACATACTGCTGAGTAGCTTGTGAATTTGCCACCAAGGTTAAAAAAAAATGTCTGTGCAGATTCTCAGTCATCCAGGTCATAGTAAACTGAAAAAACATAGAAAAAACATTGTTGGCCTTCAAAGGACTGAAACACCACCGAGGGGGATAAATATCTCCGGCTCAACACCACTCAGTCAGAATTGATGAAGCCTCTTGGATGAGAGGTGAAACATCTTCGACCTAGAAGGTTCAAAAAAGTTTTATGATTACACTGCATTTTGTTTTATTAATCTGATTGTGGAGTAAAAAAGTACAATATTGGTAAATGTATTGAAGTTGAAATATGAAGTAGAAGAAAATGAAAATACTCAAGTATTCATTCTTGTCTTTTCATTGCAGAGGAATCAGCTGAACCGGAGGAGTCCTGGAGAAGGACCATGGCTCTGAAGCTGATCCAAAGACTTGTGCTGTTCAGAGAGTTCAGGATTCAACGTTACCCTCCTGTTGGATCCGTCTGCTCCTTGACCTCACTCCTGAGTACCAGCGGTGCAAGTCGGACCTTATGTATACCCTGCAAGACCACAAGACAGGGCTGCAGGAAGCTGCATTCACATTTTGGGCTTAGGAGCCTGGCCACCACCCTCAGAGAGCCTTTGTTTGTCACCTGCAGCTCTGTAGGACTCCATAGAGATTCAGTTCTTCAGTTCCGTCTGACCCAGCTGCACCGACCTACAGCTGCTGAGGAGCAAGCTTTCCAGCAGCATTTGGGGAACTGCTCATCATCTCGGCATGTCTTCAGACTTCTGCACTCAGTGAAGATCATGTCTGACACCATGGCTGCAGCAGCACTTCACCGTGTAGCCGACTTGGAGCAGGAGGGAAACCATCTGAAGGACCCCACAGTGCTGGAGACGGATACCATCAGATCTCTGTGCTTTCAGCTGGAGCAGGACTCTGAGCGGCTGACAGAAGCTGGGTTGGTATCAGCCCTCCTGGCCTGCACACGCCTCTTTCTGGATCCCTGGAGCCCACTGATGGTGAGACTGGTATCTGAGAGCCAGAAGAGGCTGGACAGGGGGCAGATGAGTGTAGGCCAGCTGTGTACTTTAGGCAGGGCAATGCTGGCCATGGAGGGCCCTGACTGTGTGATGCTGGAGCAAGTGATGGAGGAAATCCAGAAGCAAGGGCCTGCCCAGTGGAGCCTAGCAGACCTCATTGCTGTTTATAGACTTTTGCAAGATGGTGTGTGTAAAGATGGAAAATACGGGGACCTGCTGAATGCCATGCATACCCACGCTGTGACAGTCACCTCCCGTATGAGTCCTGCTGCTGTCAGCTTGCTGCTAAGTGCTCTTGTGGCCTTGAATCAGACTCAGGCCATGCCTCTGGTGATCAGTCTGTGTAAGCAGGCTGTGCGCCATGTACCCCACTTCTCTGATGAGGAGCTCACTCTTGTGCTCGGCGCGCTAATGCACTTTGGTCATAGCGATCATTATTTTGTGGAGGCAATGGAGAGATACGTGCCCACAATGGCCTTCACCTTCCATTCAGAGACTGTTACAAAAGTGATGCAGTTCTACGGGCGGAGGAACATTCTCTCCCCGTCTGTGTTTGATGCCGTCGCTGAGAGCTTTGTGTACCGAGCTGATGACTACAGTACCGGACAGGTGGCCAGGCAGATCACGGCCTTTGGGAAGTTGGGCTACCTCCCACCTAATGCCGGGGAAGTGTTCAGGAAAGTTGAAACCATCCTGCACACACGCTGAAGCTTCTTCACTCATGCACTCTAGTGGAGCGGTTCCCAGTTAATTTTGTCTCCAAAGTCTTCAGCCGCTACTTCCTCCAGCAACTGCAAGGTAAAACATCCTGTCCAGCACCTGCAGGTTGTATGAGTGTTTCATTCTGATGCTGACTCTTTTGCATGTTTTGTTTTTACCTCTGTGTAGCACAGGAAAGCACAGGAATAGACCGGATCGTTCTGGCACAGCTGACTCAGCTCTACATGACTATGAAGTTAGAGTGTCCTTTCTATGAGGTAAAGCATTTAAAAACAGGTCAAGGTTTGGATGTGCTAAAGATGAGGCCAGCCCAAACATGGCTCTGTCACATGCTTGGGCTGGTTGGACAACTACCATTATCTGTGATAAAACCCACATTTTCCTACCTTAGAATCATTTTAGACAGAAACAAACTTGTTGGGTTCATCTGAGGCTTTTATTTGTAGATAGTGGTGTAACAATATTTGTAATTTCATGATGATGCAATCAAAACATTTCTCAGTACATTCACAGACAGTACATTCAGCACCAATGACAATTCATGCAGATATTTTTTTAAATATAACAAACATTGTAACATGGACTTTTTATCATGGCAATTTCATACTGAATGTTTTTGATATTGCTACATCCCTATTTGTAGATAATTCGATTTTTTTCCTCTAGTTGCAGTCATTGGATTATTTCTTGAAGAATCCTTTATGGATTCATGGTGTATCTCAGTCTGATGTGATGGCCTTACATAATTTATATGGTTTTATATTATTTATATAAGAATGATGGGCTTTTAACAGTAAGTTTTCAATGCCACCAAATTCCAGAATACCTAAATTGGAAACATCTTGTCTGTGTGGCCTTCCAAAAAAAAAAAAAAAATTGTTTTAAATGGGTTCAAGGGAATGTCAAAATTGGAAACATCAGTAATATCATGCTTTGTTGTTCATCATTGAAAACTTCATGGCCAGAGTGATTCATGACTGTATTCATGTGTGTCTGTCTACTCACATATTTTGTTTCCCTCAGGGTCCCAGGCTCCTCCCACAGTATCATGTGAAATCTTTCCTCACATCTGGACGCTCTCTGGAGACAGCCGTGGACGTACATCTGTACAACTCTGTCAAAACTGGACTGACTGATTTGTTCGGGGCTCGTTCGTACTTTGGATCCAAGGTCCTGACACCATACAGCTACACACTAGGTAACAGACACACAATTGCGTATCTCCCAGATGTTTCTGATAGTTTACTTATACAGGGGTACTTTTTTGTTTTTGTAGATGTGGAGCTAAAGCTTGACGAAGATGGATACGTGCTGCCTGCCAGTCACATTGATGATGTATACAAGAGGTAAATGGTATAGTATGAGGTTGTTTGATTTTTGATGTATAAATGTAACATTCAAAGTTCATCATTGAAAACTTGATGGCCAGAGTGATTTAAACACATTGTACGGGGCTCCTTTGCAGGATAGCTCTTTGTATTGACGGGGAAAAGAGGTTCACTACAAATGTAAGGCAGCTACTTGGAAATGAGAGCATCAAGCAGCGACATCTGAGACTTCTGGGATATGAAGTTGTTCAGGTGAGACCCTAAACTCTACTTTTAATCTTTAGAGCAAGAGTCTCTGAACATTTTTCTTCAGAGAGCTAATTTGACAGAATGAAATCATCTGAGCTATTCATGTCTTATATTACTAGTTACATTTATTCACATAAGATCAAAAGCCATACTGTCTGACTAGGCTAATTGTTTTGTGCAACCAGTTGTGAAATATCAATATTCAGTACTCACACTCACGTAGAAGAAAGAAAAAGAGTACTCAAGTAAAAGAAAGTTTAACTTGGGCATTTTTCATCTGCCCATGTTTGATCTGTATTTTCTGTATTGCTATGTGACACATATAATAATCCAGAACACAAAATGTGTTTTCTGTTAATCTGTCCTATCTTTGGTTTTTATGAAATAGCTGAATAAGATTTGCTTTTTTTCCTCTAGATTCCTTACTATGAATTTGAAAAACTGCCAGACAAGACCAGTGTGGTGGATTATCTGCACCATAAGATCTTCCCTCACAGTTACAGATTGAGCTGGTGATAATAAAAGAAAACTTTTAATTTAAATGTTATTTTTGCTTAGTCATTGCCAGATTGCGTTTAACTTATTGATGACACACCTCCACATTTTTAACTTGACAATAAAGTGACTTTTGCAAACCTAGTCAAATTATTGTTTGAAAAATATAATTTATTTTGTTCCTGGCAACAGAGCACTACAGAAACTGTACAGAGTTAAGAGAATCCCAATTCCACCAATCACCTCAGATACATACTAAACTAACTGATAGAATGACCAGCTTTTAATTAAGAAACCTGATTTTGCATAAAAGTTTCCCACCAGTTGATGGACAGAAGATTCTTTGGCTTTCAGTGCTGTCTTTAGGCAGGGAGTCAGTTGGATAAATACAAAATTGATAAATGTAAAACAAGCACTCAGTGTTCTGATTGCTCCTTTATGTAGCAGGAATCTGAGGAAGGCCAAACTCATCCACCAGAACACCATCCTGAAACAAAAAAGGAGAACACCCATTAATGAACCTGTGTGGACTATGATGTGTCAAACTGATGTGGAAATGCATATAAAACTGTCAAGTACCCTGTTAGTTGTCTTGTTGCCAGGCATGCCTTCTGGGATGGAAGGAGCTGATGAAGCCTCATCCAGGTAGGAGCTGTCATCATCCATCAGGAGCTCATCTCCTAAAGCATTCAGCTCTGTGGAGGCACCATCAGTTAAACATTACAGGAAACTATATCTAACACAATAAGATTGTGAGAAATTGGGGTGCCCGCTAGGCAGTGAGTAATACAGGTTATACTCGGTACATCATAGAAAAATCATGGCATTGTGTCTTCCTGACCTGCTTCCAGGTCATCGTCATCAACTTCAGGCACGCCATAGCTTCTGCTCATTGCCTCCTGGATTTCATTGGCATCCTCCATCATGTCCTCCAGCTGATCTTGTATACCCTGCATGGTAAAGAAAGCACAGAATTGTTCATATTTCATCCATCCACTCTTTAAGAAGTTAGTTAAGACTGCTATTGTACTGAAAGCTGTACAAAAAGTAACATGATTAAAAGATAAACTATATGTAGTTCCAACCAGCTTTGCAACTGATCACTATGGCTTCCTCATTGGTAAAAATTAAGTTATATTTTAGTAAACAATCAAAAACAAATACCTCAATCTTATCAATGTTCACATTCTTGTATGCTTTCTTCATGTCTTTGAGGCCGACCTTCATGGCATCAACCTAAAGGGAAAAACAGATATTAGTACCAAACTACATTGTCTTCAATTACTGTCTTTACAGAAAAAAAAATCATGTGGTACACGATTTAATGTATCTTACTGTGGTTTTAGTGTCTTGAAGTGTCTGAATTGTGTAGTTTGCTTGTTCCATGTTAAACGACTGCTGCATGAGATTATCTCTCTGGCCCTCATACCTGGAGGAGATGAGATAAAGTTAGGCTTTTAGTAGTTGAAAGAGGGAATATCACTGACTTTAGTGATAAATGCTTTGAACAATATACTTAATTCATAGTAAAAAAAATACTTACATTCTTTTCTGCTTCAGAACTCTCATAGCTTTTTGCTTCACCATGTTCTAGTAGATAAAAATATTTAACAAGACAAATTGATAACTGGCAATAAACATAAGCTGGGCATAGGTAGAACTGGGTAGGAAACTTCAACAGAGTTTTGGTACCAACCCAAATGTGTCTGTGCCACCATGTATCAAAAAACTGCACTGAACATTTGCTTATAGTTCCAGAAATAAATCACAGTTTCACCTTAGACCATTTTATTCAAACCAGGTTGTTGTAATGAATCTTTTATTTAGAAAGCATTTACAAAGGTTTGGCTTCGTATCCAAAATTACAAAAAGATTTAGTAAAACCCATCCCTAAAAAAAAGAGAAGACGACCAGCATTCTCAGGAATAAAATGCCATATTTCACAACAACCACTTAACAAGAAATGTCACCTTTGAAGGCCCATCTCTCATCTTCTTCATCTGATCCTTGTATTTTACGAGTTCAGCATCTAGTCTGGCAATCTTCTTGTCAACGGACTCCGCCCGGGAATCGACCTTAAGGAAGAAAGCAGAGAACAGGGCTTGACTTGATTGTCTACAGAAATGTTTTACAATAAATACAGTCAAGTCTAAATAGGCTAACTGATGAACTGCATAGAGGCCCTTTCCACTCAATATATTTTACGGCGTTGTGCTGTGTTGCTTGGTCAGAAATGTATGTGTAGAGTGTCACACAACAGAGAACGTTTCTGTGAGCTCATTTAAAACTTCAAAATGTGCATAATTTGTGACATCACAAATATATTAGACGCTAATCCCGGTCTAATAATCATCTTAAAGAAATGTGGTATGCAAGTGTATAATGTCCAGCACACATGCAGTGGGAATGGGCATCACTGTGAATAGCAGACCTCTTGTTTTGAGCTGTTAAACTTTGAAAATGAACAATATTTACATATTCAAAGATACAGACGTTTTTAGATAGATGGAGAAAAGATGATGTGCTTTTATGAGTTTATAATGGGTTAAATAGAGTTTTGTGAAAAACACAAGACAGTTTGTTATTTATGCTGGGTAACATTTGTTAACTTCATGTATGACTGGAGGGGGCCATACAACATTTATCACGTTTCCTCCAGTCAGCCAAAGGTAGCTCTGCCCAGACAGCCAACCTGTATAACTGGTTGACGTCAGCCTTTTCTCTGATAGAATAATGTCGTTTCTGTTGTACACCAGTGACATGGCTCAAATTCCTGCTTTTAATCACGCAACGGTGATCCATTTCCTGAACAGACAAACCAATTTTCTTGCTTTTACGTCTTGTTTACAGACTGGGCTTCATCATTGTATTCTGTCAGGTGAAAACGCCTACTTGGATAATGATGTCTGTCACTAAGACAGTAACAAATAACTAATCTCTAAGCCACTAAGTTAGTTCTCTTTACGAAAAAATGCCAGTTAACTATGGCAAAACCCGTCCTTGTTGTTGCTCATAAAGTTGACTAACAGTTAGCTAACTCCACCAACCACCTAGCTAACGCATCTTTGTTTACTTTGAGACAGCGTTCAAAAGTTATTTTAGGATTATACGTACATTTCCTATGCAGTCTGTAAGGTTCGGCGGTGGACCCTTAGGCTTTCCGCTTCCAAATATACGGTTCATTTGGGCAAAATCAAGGCTTTAATGTACCACAAAGATACGTTATATCACCGTCCCCTCAAGGAAAAACCCGGAAAACCTTTGAGATGACGTGAGATGAGTCAGATGATCATTATCCACCTAGCCACGCCCCCGGCCCTGGGACTTCCTTGTTAATGAGGAAGTCTTCTTGTGAGGCATTTTTAGCTGTTTATTTGCTTCATGTTCAAATATGTGTTATGTATTTCATTTTCCATATTTCTATCGCTGTGCGTGTGTAAATGCTCATTACCTTGAAAGGAAATACAATGGGCCTTTTAGATTGGTAAATTAAAAACAGACTAGCAATGCATTTCTAAACAGCTTTCCTGCCAGTATTTGATAACCTCTATTTGCTTGATACTAATTAATTGATATGAAAATTTGGATAATTTCTTGTTTATAAGCATGAATATAGATAGATATAAAAAGGCTTCTACACATACAACCACACATCATTCCAGGATTAATTTTATTAGCACGTTGTCCTAGTTAGTCCTGTCATTTCCTGTCCTCTGGAGGGGGCTGCTGGCATACAGTAAATGCTAAAATTAAGAGTTTTTGCATAAGGCTACATACAGTAACTCTCACTGAAACACACCTTCCTGTAGAAACAGGCCTACATGGAAACTAAAACAGTTCTCTCATTAATCAAACTGTGATTCACTTTTCTTCTAATTGGCAACAAGATGAGCTTTCCATTGTGAGAAGAAAATCAAGGCAGATTTGTTGAATGACTTTAATATGAAGCACTTCACAGACAGGATGTTTTGACTTGCTCAGTGGAAAGCAGACAAAGCCAATATACAACTGCAAATTTAAACAATAAGCACAATAAGAATAGAGACTTTTTTAAAAAGGATGTCTTGGTCACAGTCACAGTGAAGTTTCTTATAGGAAATGTCTCTTATGTTTTGTCAAGTAACAGAATTTCTGTGCTATATATGCTTAACTAAGATTTTACAGAAATTATTTTATTAGTAAACTAAATATTAGTGGACTTTGTTCTCTACTGAGATAGATGGGTTTATACCATAATTCTATAATATTATACATTTTTATAATACAGAGTCTATTATTTGCAGTACATTCAAATCTGCAGCACAGTCTGACAAGCTGCCTATATTGCATTATACTACCATAGCAATGATTATTGACATGCTACAAATACAGTATATTTCAATGTCTGTGCAAATACGTTATTTTTGTCACACACACACATATATATATGTATATGAAATAAAGTATTATATATATACACTATTGTACTGTACATTTAACAGAATATGCTGTATTTAATTATGTGCACAAAGCTTTTCACATTTTTCTCTAATAGCATATTTTTCTACAATAACAGTAAGAGTAGTTGAACAGGACTATGTAAAGCCATACACAGCACATAAATTACAATATATATTATAACTTAACTTATCACTCTGGACACAACTCCAGAGTCAAAGCTGATAGAGAGCCCTCTGTCCAAATTTAAATGCACATGCACATTCAAGTCCAGGGCTTTTCTTTTAAATAAACCTGCTTAGGTGCAACTGAGTGTTTTTTTCTTAAATGAGTCAGGATCAGCACAATCCAAACCCTTTAAGAGGTGAAAAGGATTTTGACACGTATCTGCTGTCAGAGATTCAAGCAGCTGTCACAGGCATGTTCTATAAAAACATTTTATACATGAAGTACTGTTCCTAAATCATTTCCTGTTGCTACAAAGATGACATACCCTGGACTATTAAAGGCACGTTTGGCAATAGAAAAATACAGGACGAAATGACTCTCAGCCAAAGTGAAGGGGAAGAAGTAAAAGGAGAGAGACATAAAGAAAATTCAATTAAATAAATCAAAATTATAAAAACACTGATGCGTAAAGTATGTAAATATATTCTAATGACTTCTTATGAAGTGTTGTTTGGGACACTTTCAAGTAACTAAACTAAAAATGATTATTTAATAGCAATTCATTATCTTCCTGATCTTTTTTGTCTATTAAACTTTTAAAAAGTTTTTACTTTTAAAAAAAGGGCTTCTATAAACTCTAACATCCCAAGGTGACATCTTTAAATGTCTTGTTTTGTCTGACAAACAATCCAACACCCAAAAATAACCTAAATGGTTATTTGATTTTCAAAGCAGCTGCAGATTCACTTTGTTAATTAACTTATTAATGAACTGACTAATCATTTGCGGCTCTGTAATTAGTATCATTAATGAGCAGCACTTTCTTGCAAATATTTAGGAATGATTTTAAAAAGCTGTTGAAGACGACCTTATGGTCTTTCCTGTTCAAACAAAACAATCTCCCTGTTTGCATGCACCTGCAAATTTAAATAATAAATGGCAACAGTCAGCAGAGGGGATGAGGATGAAGCTGTTGTCATACAGTTATGTGATATATATACAGTTATAACTTTCACTTAATTTCTGAAATGAAATCACATTATTGGCACAAGATAAGTCCTGTAATAATGAAAATGTATCAACAATAAAAGGGTCTGAACTACAGTCTACATTACTGACGTGACATGGGTTAGGCCCAAGTCATGCGAGTCTTCTTTCCCGATGTGGGAAATTGACGACAGTTCCACTGCTAGTCATGTCGGCCTACTAGTCTCATCTGGGTTCTCCAGGGGAACAGCGGCCTCCTGGATAGTGCTGGGGCCCTTTTTGCTCCCTGACACCTTCTCCCCCTTCAGTTTGGCTGAGAGACAGAAGTCTTTGAAGCAGCGTTTGAAGTTCTCATCCAAAAAGGCATAGAGCACAGGGTTGAGGCTGCTGTTGGTGTAGCCCAGAGCCACACAGAAGAAATACGCGGCCATGATGGCAGTAGTCTCGGGCACACTCACAAGCGCCTTAACCAAGATGAAGATGTGAATAGGAGTCCAGCAGACCACGAACACAGCCACCACAACCACTACAAGTCTGGTGATCCGGCGCAAGTTACGATCCTTCTCCCGTGAGCCAGACAACATGCGCACACTCTTCAGTCTCAGGACCATCAGGGAGTAGCACACAGTGATGATGAGCACAGGCACAACAAAGGCAAAGACAAACACACAAATCTTCATCAGTGTGTCCCAGTATACATACGGCTCTGGGAACTGTAAGGCACACTCGGTTATGTCTGCAGGAAGGATGGAGAAGGAGAGAGAAAATGGGAATTAAGTGATGAAGTGCTCTTAGTGCCTTTTCATAAATAAAATTCTACTCTGTGTCTTTCTAGTGTCAATTTAATAAGTGGTTACTGAACAGCTAATCTGAATTCCTAAGGGAAAATTCTCATTCTCAGCTCTGCCTTTTCCTCACGTCATCTATATTCAGGGAAGGTGACGCAGGGTGTGTAGCTAATGGGAAACGCTGCACTGAGAGATGGACTATTGTCTCCCTAAAATATAATCCATACCAGCTGCTTTAAGTGATTCTTTTATTCTTAGAAAATTAAGAAAACTTTCAACTTTACTGAGGGATGGTGGAAGAACTTCCTCACCACTGTTTGTCTGGGTGCCACCTAGAACAAAGGCAGGTATCCCTGCAGCCGAGGACAGGATCCAGATGCACACGTTAATCATCTTGGCTTTGACGGGAGTGCGGAAGTCCAGGGCTTTCACTGGGTGGCACACAGCCACATAGCGATCTACACTCATCATGGTGAGTGTGAAGATACTGGTGAACATGTTGTAGTAGTCGATGGAGATCACTGTCTTGCACAACATGGCCCCAAACGGCCCGGTTCCCATCCGGTAGTTGACACTCTGGAAAGGCAAAAGGCATCAGCAAGTGCTAGGTTGAAAATGTAAATGTTGGTGGCTGTCTTCATCTTTGTGTACCTGTTAAACATGCAGAATGCAAAGTTATCCTGAATGGTGAGAAGAGAGAGAGGTGACCAGAGCTGGGTGACCCATCAACACTGGGCTGTTTTCACTTAAAATTCAAATTTTCACCCCCTCCTTTCAGTGATGAAATCCTTAACAGCTTCACATTATTGCATTTAGTTAAAATCTTTCAAACAATAGTTTGACATTCCGGGAAATACATTAACTTACCTTTTTGTTAAGAATTAAGCTGAGATGACTAGATTGATACCACTAGCCTAGCTTAGCATAAAGTCTAGGAGTCAGAGCTGGCCAGAGGCATAAGCGAACTAAGTGTCTGCTTAGGGCCCCTGTGGCCACCAGAGGGCCCCAGAGAGCACTTGAAATGTCCTACTTGAAATGCCTTATGGTTAACAACATGCTGGGCTGACAGTGATATGATGTAAGAACAGCTATAGATAATAAAATTTAGAATTGGTGTAGATTTACAGTACATGTGCCAGTGATCAAGAACTGACAATAGTTACTAGCATTTGCAGCACAGAGTTGGTGGAGGGCCCCCAAATCAAATTTTGCTCAGGGCACTATCAAGACTTGGGCTGGCCCTGCTGGAAACAGGGGGAAACTGCTAGGCTTTGAGGTAACAAGTGTCACTAGAGCTCATTAACTAACACAATATTCTGTATCATGTTTATTTAAACTGCCCGAAAATTGAAGTGTAAAGTCGTGGCTTTTGGCAAACCAGCTGCTGGCTGTAGCTTTGTACTTTATGGACAGACATCTCACTCCAACAAAGCAAATGAAGTGTTTCCCTTAATGTCAGAGTATTTCTTTAAACATAATCACTTGTGGTTCAATATCTAAAATATGGTTTGTTCTGACCTTTTTGTATGAGTGTAATTTCACATATTTCTTTACAGTTAATTAACATAAACCTCTTCTTCCTTCAGTTCCCTCAACTGAGCAACTAAACAGTAAAACATAAATCGAAGTGATAAAATTAGGTGATAAAATTCTCCCAACAGGCAACTCAGTAAATCAGATCTGAAGTAATTGTTGTCTATGGACCAAAGCACGCTGGATGAAAATGCTCCATTTCCTATTACTTCTATGGAGATTTGTTGTTCTCACACACCATAAATAAGACTCAATGAGGAGTAAGCTGGCTACAGGGTTGATAAAGCTCTACTCGTTTCAACTGTAGTTAATATCACGACAGGCCATTGTATAGAGCTGACTGATCAAACATATTTGCTACGTTTTGGAGGTCTTGGGTGTTACCAGATTCATGAAACGAGCTGCTTTGAAGGTTTCAACCATTTCTCAGCCACTGATAGGAGGCAGAAGCAATGCTACATTGACAATATTTATCATAATCTTAACCCTTTTCTTAGTAAAAACCCAAGTTTTGACTCTATAATCTACAGTATATAGTGTTGTTCCTGCCATTTACATACATTTTGCAAGACAATTCTTTCCTTAAACTGACTGGATGTATGGATTTCAGTGCAACATGCCCCATTTCTGTGAAGGACTTGACTCTACAGCACCTGAGGAGATATGGACCAGATGGCACTGTAACCGTCCAGGGGTTGGTGCCAGTGGCATCTCCTTAAGTAATAACATTTAGAGAGGTTGAGGAGAAATGAATTCTTCTGCCTGGACTTCTGTTGATACTTTTAACATCTAAAAATTTGCCTTTTATCATGTGCCAAAACATTTGAGTTAATTGTCTCATCTTCTCCGAGGGTCCAGAACATGTCCCCTCAACAAAGAAATTGCCACTTCATTTGTTATTGTATAACAGGCCAGATATTTTGCTACATAAACTCACAAGGTACTTCTTAGTAGGAGGAGCCCACTGTATGTATACATTTCTTAGGAGTTATGGAAAGCAAAATGTTCACTTAAAACACGACCTTACCTAATAATGACATACATGACGAGGCAGTTGCCCAACAAGCCAACGACAAACACCACTGAGTAGACTGCAGTGATGATGGGGATGATGGGAGACATGCTCTCCGGCTCCCAGCTGCCATCACTGGTCACATTGCGGGTGTCTGAGAATCCGGACACCCAGGACGAAGAATTCAATGGACAGTCTTGCAGCAGTGTGGACAGGCACACGTTGTCTCCCTTGAAAATTTCAACCGGAGTGCCTTCCATTGTGACACCTGTTTGATAGGTTGAGAAAGGCTTTAAAATAAGACTTTAAAGTGGATACATCATTTAAAGATGTAGCGCGTAATAATAAGGTGGTTAAACACGGTGACATCAGGTTCCACTAAGCAACGAAAGCGCATGTAATGTAACACTTAATTCAGGATTCAAATGCAAAATATATACGTAAATTTCATTATGTTAATAAAAAACACGAGACCTTTACAAACTTTACTTTGGTTCTGGAACTAGTTGTAGATCATACAAAATAGTCGGAAATAAACAGAGCAGCTCCGGTCGTTCGGTAAAAAAAGCGCAATATCAATTCATCACTGTAATGTGAAATTCGCAGGTTACTCACCTTAATCAACCCGAATTATCGGACGCACCCTGTCAGATATAATTAACAAAATGTGTTCTCTCAGTAGTAATTCACCCCGTCTCGTTTAGTTGCCTTAGTGAAGGTTTGAGCTCATCAAAGTTTGTGGATGGTACTGCGCGTCTGGAGAGGAGCAGCAGCGGCTTTGCGGATACTAGTGCACACTCACTGATGGAGAGGCGGCGCGCAATCAGGCTAGACCCATACGCACACACACGCACACAGACAGCAGTAAGTCTTCACCCAGAATATAAGATGACAGAGCGATGACAATAACCTAGAGACAGATTCCCTCATACTGTATGACACAGTGCAGTAAAAGCTATTAAGCATCACTGAACAAGTCATCCCTCATTTTTGTCCTGGGAATGTTTAAAGGGGAAAACCCACGTTTTGGATGAGATTTATGTTACATTGTTATTAAACTGTCCTGTGATGATGTACGCTTCCTCTCCAAAATCTACAGTCAGACGAATGTGAGTGTAATAAACACATTTTCTGCATTTTCTTTTTCTGCATGGTACAAGATGGAGAAGATGAAAATGCAAGATTGGGGAAAGTCTGGGAACTGCTGGGGAGATTAATCTGCTGATTTTCAGTGACACAGCAATGTGAATATGAACGTGTGTGTGAATTATTCTCGGCATGTCATAGGTCAGTGAAGTAGCCAGTCTACTAGAGCAGCTAAGGGAAATAAAAAGACCTCATATGTGGAGACCTCAAGCCTCTTGGGAAGCAATGAATCTGTGAGATTTTGTCAGTAACTATACTGAATATAAGGAGATAAAACAATGAAAAATCAAAAGTCATTTTTGCAGACGTAAGTACTTAAACAGTTTGGCTGCTGACTCATTTCTGCTTCTATTACATTTCTTTATAGTCAGATGCTTGTCAGTGCAGCAGCCAGCTCAACACTTAGAGCTCAAGTTATTCTATTTAAACTAATGGAAATGTTTCTTATCCAGCCATACTAATCGTTAATTTTGTGATTTTCTTTAATTTAAACTAAGAGAAGCTACAATGTTGAACAAAACGGTTAAGTTTATTAATGTATTTATTGTTTTTAATGGTGAGTTTTAAATGAGTGGAGGCCAAACTCAGCCAGTGTAAACATGGACCAACTTTAATGATTTTTAAACGTGCTGAATATTAATTAGACTTCTTGATTTTGGAGGGACAGCTCAAAATTTGAACCTTGGGGCATCAGATGCTACTACCTCTATTGTTGTACATGGAGTGGCTGTTTTTTTAAAGATAAAATTTACTGACTTTCTCCATTTCTAGGCAACACTGGTATTGTTTTTACTAATGGACAGCACTGATGATGACATTCTCAGCTTGCTCATAATTTTTGGTGAAGACACGTGGGAGGCCGATGTAGTATCTCTCACAGCTTTGTCTGAGCTCACAGGAGTGAAAGGACAAATGGACACTATAACATGTTTGTGTTGCGTTCGCCCCCACAGAGATGTGGGTGGGTCAGGGAGTAATCTTGGTTCTAATTTAGGTTCAGTCCTTTGATTTATGTAAGAAGAGCAATTAATTTAAATGTTTTGACTTTCACTCAGGATTTCTGAAAGCAATGAAAGCAGAGAAGCCCTTTCCCAAAAGGAGAGTCCGATTTATGATTAAAAAATGAAATTAGTGGTTTGCAAAAAGTCAGTCACTAAAAGACAGTTTAAAGATTGTGCTCATGTCCATGTGTTATTACTGTGCACTCACACCCACAAACCTACTTTATTTTGGTTTAATCAAAACCTCGCATTGCAGATTGTTCACGTAATCTGCATGTTCTCCATAACTAAAAACAGGAACAATTTGGAAATTAAGAAAAGATTATTTGTGGCATATGAATCCATTTCCCCCTTTCGCACCAGTAAACATAGTTGTTAATCATCTCACCAATCAGCTCTCTCTTTTAGTGTACAGATTGTGTGCTATGAGTAAGTGTCACTGGGTAACATGAGGCAGACAGGCAGAAAATGTGTAGGTTCAGAGAAGAGAGCAGCTATTTCTGGTTGGAGGTTTCCCTGCTGGATACAAATAGTGTACATATGTAGGAATGAAGCAGGCTGGACTCCAGCATGGACTCAGCAGTAATGGATTTTTGTGCTCAGTTACAATATTGAACATACAGTATATAAAGCATATAAGCTTAGCATTAGACAGAAAAGTATTTTACTGATAAATACACCAGTGATGTGTATGAACATACAGTATATAGAGTATATAAGCTTAGCATTAGACAGAAAACTATTTTACTGATAAATACACCAGTGATGTGAAAAAGCTTTATAATTTGATTGATTTACGCACATGTAAAAAAATGTGACTGCAACAAAAAAGTCCCCCCTAAAGCATAACAGCTCTGCAGGTGTTTATGTGATCCACCTTGAGGTGCGGAGCTTCATGGAGCACTGCTTTTGATCTATGACTCAAGGGAACAGCTGATCATATCGAGGAATGCTGAATGTGCACAGTGTCCCGAGTGCCTGGGACTTTTAACAATAAATGGCTCCAAGGAGCTGGACTGCACTTAGCCGGAGCTCTACATCAAAAACAGAGAGGAGGAGAGGTCGGAGAATTTAGTGACAAAGTTGGAAATGGAGGCAGGACTGATGGGAGGAGTGGAGAGAGGGGAGGTGGTGGGAAGGTGACAGTGAAAAAAGTGAATACTCACATGTGATGTGTCCTAATATAAGCAAACAGTGTTTAACATTTAAAAAACAGGAAAATTCCAGTGAAATAGAATCAGTGTAACTCATTAATTAGCTTGTTCTCACAGGAAATATATGAAAGTTTCATGTTCACATGCACAGTAAAGGGCTATATCCATATAACATTACAGGTGTGCTAACTTCCAAATAAAGTGGTTTAGGATAATCAGGTTTAACTGTTCACATGAGAGTTTGATCATCTGACCGGTAACAGTACAAAGATAGTTACTGTTCATATTTTATATACACTCACAGGCCATTTTACGACATACACCTGCACAGGTATATGTAATTCAATGCATCACTTTCATAGTTGTCTATATTTTTGTCCTCCCCAGCTACAAACATAAGAGTTAGAATATTAGGAACACCTCTGAATATAATGTAGTCCAGTACCAATAATAAACATCTCATTGAATTTATCCATTTATGACAATTTCACCAAAATCTGAGCCTCAAAAAACATAGATGTTAAACCAGAAGTGCAGCATTGAAGTGCATACAATTGGACATGTGTACCTAATAAAGTGGCTGGTGAGTGTATTTTAAGTTTTAATAAAACTTATTCTGAAGTTGAGAGCTGCATTAAGTTCTGAAAAGTTGGGACAGGAGCAACAAAAAAAAAAAATCTAATTGAAGAAAAAAAATCAGTGGAGCAGAAAAAACACCAGCACTCTATAGAAATCTTCCATCACACAGTGTCAGACGTGCTCTCCATACCAAGTGATTTGCCCCGTGGTCTTAAACTTGTTTAGCGTCAGTGGGCAGAAAAGAAGCTCCCTGCAGACACAGCGTGAGTTTACTGAGTGTCTCATTGATTCCCACACAAAAAAGGCAAACACACACATCTCCACAAAATGTTTATGCATTCTGTCAGATATAACCTGCGTTTCCCAAAGTACGAGGTGTGCTGGTTCTCCCTGCATGTCGGCCACTGTACACCGAAGCTTCTCGCTGTGATCTTCCAGCAACAGTCACCAGAGGAAACACTGGTTATTTGATAGATGCCTGCAACTTAATGACAAGCAAGACTTGTCAATAGACTGGATCGATAGGCAAGCAACTTCACAAACATACTTTTTCATTCTCACTTCAAAGCCATGTGGTGCTAATCCCCATGCAGACCTAATACACACATGCATTCATGGCCATATAGAGCTCTCAGCAAACTTGGCCTTGGTTGCTGTGAAACAGGAAGCATCAGCCAACACACCATAGTGGAAGCTACAATTCAGTTGCTGCTTGTGTATATACCAGATGTTACTGTAGGACTATTTTACAAGCGGGTGTTGTAAGCTAACAGTCTTTTCCACACTTCTACCTGCTTTTTGATTCACTTAGTGTTTCCTGTATTTCTCACAATCACATTCAATATTCCCCGAGGAGTGAACTGACCCTGCAGCAGGAAGGACATGTAAATGAAGAGTCCAATGTTTTAGCAACTATTTTCCAATTTGGCACTAAAGTGACAGTCACACTTGGAAGGCAGCATGTTGCTATACTGGTCAAGCTGTTTTATAAATGAAAAAAGTTAAATATATGCTGCATCAGATTCTTTGAGGGTAGGACCAGGAGCAAAAAAACAGGAACAGTACAATTTACTTTTGTAGTCCCCACTCGAATGTTTTTACAGGATGCCTGGTTGCATGGGTGCATCAGAGCAGCTCCCTCCCTCATCTGCAATCGAACGCACACAGACGCCGACACACTGGACAGATGGAGGTAGTGACTCGTTTTGTTAGTGAATCATTTGCCGTTTAGTTGCGTTTGTGTTTCCATGGCAAACACAGGCAGGAGTCACACCAGAGAGAGGGATGACCTTTAGCATGGTGTTACTTAATTTAAATAAATACATTTTTGCAGAGCTCTTGAAGTAGGTATAGTAGGATACCTGCAAATAAAAAGAACAGATAACCACACAGCGGCAGTGCATCTGAGATAAACATGCCTCATAAGTCAGAAAAACAGCTGAATAAATAAAACTTAAATATGAAAATATAATTAGCTTTAGTTTATTATAGCTGCTCCAAAATTATTGCTTTATAATGTGTTCTGCTTAATATTTAATCATCTATTAGACATGCTTTACAAGAAAATGTGTTTGTTGGTGGTGGTTTGTAGTGCATCATAAAATAAATCACCCTTGTCGGAGGAATTAACGTGATTAATCACCCTGATATTGAGCTGCGAGGCTACAGGCTGTTTTTCCAAACTGCACTGAATAATAGCGTATGGCTGAAGTAGCCCTGATTTCACCTAACATTTTATAATAGAAGCACTGAGGCTCAGGCGGTTGTGCATTAGGCCAAGAGAATAAGTAATCAGTCTCAAAAGCTTTTGTGTTACCCACATTGTTAATATGGTTTCATCAACACCACTGCTAATGCACTGAAGCTCTAGAGGTATTATCAGGGACACTTGAAACATAAAAATAGGACTCTGTGACATTATGGTCCTGATGATGTTGTGTCCCATTTCATTAGATCAGTTGCCTCAGAGAAAATCA